AGAGTTGTCTCATTGGCCATCATACCACTTATTTTTATTTTTATATTTGTTATTCGAAATGTATGTCTACAATTGTTGTTTTTTTTTTTCTTCGATTCAGATTATTTAAAAGATGCCAGAACTGGCACCTTGTTGCCAATCATTCTCTGAAGGTGTCCAGTATTCCAAACCAGAAACAGCATATTTAACTAAACTAAAAATGGACCACGAGAGGTGGAGATATGAAAATGCTGTTCATAAAATAGACATAAATTCTAAAATTGCAGAAGAAGTTTGTTCTAAAAATGTACAACAGGCTAAAGACGACCACTTAAAAACTTTAGCATACGCTCGGGTATATCAACTTCATAGTTTTGATAAATATGATCCATTCAAAGACGATCCTCTTGAAGGAAAAGTCAAACGAAGGAAACGGAAAAGGAAACAAAAACCTAGACCGAATACTTTCCAGACAATTGCAAATCCGGAAAAAGATGACCCGGAAACATTACTTTCTCTCTCGCCTCAACGCAGCACTTTAACAATTGCTGCGCTGAATAGAACTTTTCCTCAAATTGCAACAATGGAACCAGTAGAAAAAGAAACGGACAATAAAAGTATGAGTAACTCACATTATAATGCACTCTGCCTGTGGAAAAGTGCTACCAAGAAACTGTTTATGAAAGAGAAAAAAGTTAAAGCTCATAAAGAGCCTCAACTCACAATGAAAGCAAAGGCTAAACTGGAGGTTGAGAGGCCACAAAGAAAGAATATCTTTCCCGGAGAGTGCAAAACACAGGCTGCTCTCAAGAAATTTATGGAACATGAGACAGAACTAGTTATGCAAGAAATGACAGCACCGAAGCATAAAAAGGATGAGAGTATAAGGAAAATGGTAGAAAGAGCACAACTACCAGACATCATTCGAAGAGATAAAACGTTTTCTGCTATCGTTAAGGACTTTAAAACGTACAAAGAAGAGAAAGAAGAACGGAGGCACCGGAAAATGATTGAATATGTAACACATCACTTCAATCAGAATTCTATACTTCATTAAAAATAACCTGATCGAAATATTTTTTTGAAATTAAACATTTGGTTTTTATCTGCACTTCCTGGTTTTGATTATTTAAATTTTAATTATTTTTTCATTTATCTTTTTAAATGATTATTGGTAATTATATTTCGAAGATATTAAAACGTGTATTTTAACTAATGTATAACAAATCTGGAAACTTATACAGCAATACTAATAAATAATTAATCCATATTTAGTCATATACCATAATACACTTACAGTGCTGGTGTCATTTTTTAAAGTGTTTATTGCTAAATTGAAAGTTTAGATTGCGAAATAGTGTAGATAGAATAGCTTCAAAAGAATCAACAAAATCTTAACTCCAATAATGCAGCACCCTCTAACGGACAGTGTCCTCAAGAGTAAGTGAGCGGTTTTTAACGACTGGATTATTCGGGTTAACCAAATTCGTATGATACTAGAGGAGTGCCCGGGAGTTGTCTCAGAAATTGCTTTTAAAAGGACAAACAGACTGAGCCTTAAAGTTTTTTTGTCATGCTAGTCTCATCTATGACACACACAAAAAAAAAACACAACAATAACAGGTAATCCCCTCTTTCTAAGGTCTTTCCTTTATTTCAATTTATAGTGAATTAGGCGATACGTTAAACTACAATAAACTGAAAAGCTCTATATGAAATAGAAATTCCATGCTTATAAGAAGCGTTACTGCTAAATTTATAATTGACTTTTTAAAGTTTAAATTGGCTTTCTTTGTTGTCTATACTTCTAAAGTTGTCCCCGTCTCTCTTTTGGAGATAAATGAACTTACGTCTAGCGAATTCATATACTAAGAAAAGGTTAAAATTTGTTATGCTTTCATTCGCAAATCTCTTCTTACAATTTCGACTTGTAACAGACGTAAGACCTATTATAGATGAACCTGTAAAAACCTAATAAGAACTTTTATTTCTTATACAGCAAGAATTCTGCAATCTGATTGGTTAATCACTCGGGTGTAAATAACACCCCACCCTTGTTCACCTGGGGATAAAATTTTGCCAAAAGTTCCAAAAAAATTTTTAAAAAAATATTCAAAAATTCAATAAAATATTCTTCCAAAACATAATATGTTCCTAAATTCCCGAAAATAAGGAAAAATTGAAAAGGGTTATATTTGACAATGCGCAGCAACATTTGTGTTGGAAAATGTAGTGGAAGTTCATAATAAGCAGGAGTTCATTGAAACACGTTGAGAATTGAAGGTCAGTTTGTAAATTTTAAGCGGTATGAATCTAAGTGAATTAGATCATTTTTCATGAAGCCCAGAAACTTAATATCATATCGCTAAAACAAACAAAATCGGAATTCAACTTTATTATTTACCTTCAATATGCATTTATATAACATATCTTTGTAGTTTAATAAATCAAGTATACTAATATTTATTATAAATTCCAAGAATATTACTTGATTTTAGCTCATGATATTTTTAACGATTTTCACAAGATATGAAAACTTTTGACATCACCATGTTCATATCTTAGATAATAGAAAAACAAATTTGAAAAATACAGCCCTTCTGTAGGCATATACGTTTTAGGTTAAACGGTCGCCACTGTTCATAAATATAAGAATATTATTTTTATCTATAGAAACGTTTATTATCTTATCAGCTGTTTAATTTACGCCTGCGAAATTTTTACCATTATTTTTGTTCCTGCAGTCGATCATCTATTGTACGTGTTATTGCTAGGACAACTGTTGTGCTTGTAATCTATCATGTATTTTCAAAACTAAAGTTCTTCGGAGGTAGTTTTACTGAAACTGATGGAAAGGTTGGATAATTCACCTGTGAAATATTTGTTAGTGTCTCGAACTACAGCAATCTGAAATTGTGGTTAAGGTGTTGCAATACGGTCTTATTAAAAAGTATAACACATACTATTTTCAATATGAGCTATCCAAATTCATGCCTGGAATATGTGTTATTGTCGGGTAGAAATAAAAAAAGATGGATTCTGTGATTCTACCATCATGTATAATATTGAATAACACGATATGTTAGGGTCGTTCAAGTTCCATACCGTAATGAAATGTGTAAAATGTTCCATTAAACTAAGGGGACGACCATATTCTGGGGGAAAAAGGATGAGGATATATTTGCGGATTGAACATTCAATTTCATCTGTTGCTACTTTTTTCCCCTTTTTTCCCCTTTTGTACACAATTGTTTCATACATTTTGTGTTGCAGAATATTCATTTTCATCCTATTTAGACTAATAATGCAAGACTATTTATTTTCAGCTCTTACCAGGCCAGGATATTCATTTTCATAATTTTCCTGGCACCCCCTCCCCACCACAGAAATTCAAATGGTAGTCCCGTAAATGTAAAAAATTCGAACAGGATAACTAATGGCCTAGTTAACAATACATTAAAGAAAAATCAAAATGACAGGGAGACACCGACGACCACTAGACAACAACTCCTGTCTTGGCAGACGCTTAATGGATTGTAGAAATGTCCTTTATCGTCCCTTTTTTGCCTCCGAATCGAATGAGCCTTAAATTTTTATTGTCATTCGTTACATCATATTGTTTAGCTACTGCTAGAGTCAATCAGAGTAAAATATATATAATTTACTTCAATTTAACAAATGTTTAACTGCATGTTGGTCGTCATTTGGAATACCAAATTCACACCCTCAAAAGATTATGGTGAGGTTAAGATGGCTTTGAATGCTCAACCGTCCTTCTTGACAGTGGTTTCAGTAGCATACCGATGTAGTCCAGCCCTGGCTTTAGTGACTTCTTTTAATTTTTTTTTGTCACCCCAAAAATTAAAAATCTCATGTTTTTCACGATTTTTAATGCTGTTTTAGCACTAAATCGTTCAAAATTGTTCAAAAACTATCTATTACGTTTTCTGCAATTACGCCCCCCTTTCAAAAAAATATTGTGTCCACTCCTTGGTCCAGATTTAATATTCAAAAAATGTATATTTTAAAGTCTCTTTCTCTTCTTTAGATCCCAGTCAATACCGGGGTCTCTATTAGAAGAAATATACGTTTTGTATATATGTAAACAAAAGTTATCTCTCTTCTTATATATACGCATACTAAACTAGAATTATTACACTACATAGCAGTTGTGCTGGCACATCGAAGGAAATGCCTATTTATTTTCCTGAGCGTAGTTTATACATTAGTTTAAATTTCTAATTAAAAAAAAAGGGATTTATGCAAGATATAGAGTGTCCTTTTTATTGCGTGGGATGTACAAATACGCAGCCACGTCTGATCGGATTTGGAAATTAAATCCGATGCCTTGTGTATGGAAAGTGCCACAATCTCTACACGTTAAAGAACCCTTGCAACAACTCCCCGTAGATTTGTAGGACTACTTTTGAAAGTCATAATTGCTGCTCCTATCCAACACAACCCCCGTTCCCATTGGTAGTCTAACTTGCCCGTCCGACATAGCAGTTGATCCATTTTTTTTTAGAAACAACCTATAGGATTTATTGTTAGTTTATTATCGTCATTGATAATCATAAAATATTTGCTACTGGGCGTTATGGTGTGTTTGGGCCATATTACACAACATGCTATAGAAGAGAATGCGTAGTCTGGTATTAGGAACCGAAGGAAAAAATGAACCTAGAAGAAAACTTTTAAAACATTAGTATATCTGACCTAAAGGTCGATTCTTCTTTATCAAAGCTTCCATCACGGGACTGGAGCAACTCAGATCATTTTAAGATTTTTAACACGTTTTTTATTCAATTTGTATATATGTTTATGTAAATATAAATAATGGTAAATTTTTTTACCGATCAAGATATCTAAAATGACTGTTGTCAATTTTATCTTTCGGATCGGTTAGTTTTATTATGCTTAACCATACAATTAGGTATTCCCTTTCAAAAAGTTAATGTTCCATTTAATAACGTTTCAAACAGAACATTATTTTAGCGTTTTTTTAACGACACAATCTAAAAATACAAATCCTGCACATGCACAACGCATAGTAAGTATATTGTTTCTTTGTTTATTTGATATTTTCAAATTACACGTGTACGTAAAAACCGTAAGGGAAATAATCGAAAAAAATGGGCCATTATAATTCTTGCTCTAATGTGTAAATGTAATTACAAATATGATTGACTGTGATTGATCATAAGGAATTTCAATTCATGGGGTTGGACCCCTTTTTAGTGATGTAAAAATGTCAAAACTAAGGAAGGAACCTTTTCTAAAAGTTGCATGAACGGCCATTGAACAGCATATACGTCTGTTGTAATTTAGTTTAAATGATTAGACTCGTTGCACAATTCAAGAATCACTGCATAGGTCAACGAAGAGTGATTTTTCAAAGAATAGATACGTGAAATATGTTAAAACTAAGATCATAGTATATTCTTACCAGATCTCTCATGTTAATTATCTGTAATGTTTAGGCGAATCTTTGCACTTAAGCTGTATACAAGTTTTCACTTTGCCTTATTGAATTTATCGTTGACAATAGTAGGTCAATCAACAAGTTCAAGGATTACAAAAATCATTGGCATTGCTGAAGCAGTATCTTTTTGAAGCCACTGCTGTCTGTCCTCCTTTTGTCAAATGTTTTTATTGCCTCTTTTTAATATATCTTTTTTTATTTTTATTTTTTCTTTTGTGTGGCATGATACAGAATTTTAAACAAGCTTCATATGATGAAGACATAATCTTTCAATCAGTTTAATTGAGGCCTGGAGCTGGCATGTCAGTAACTGCTAGTAGTCTGTTGTTATTTATGTAATACTAGTATTGTCATTTTCTTTATTTTCTTTCATTTCCTATTCTGACATCGGACTCGGACTTCTCTTAAACTGAGTTTTACTGTGCGTACTGTTGTACGTTTGTTTTTCTACATTGGCTAGAGGTATAGGGGGAGGGTTGAGATCTCAAAAAACATGTTTAACCGCGCCGCATTTTTGCGCCTGTCCCAAGTCAGGAGCCTCTGGCCTTTGTTAGTCTTGTATCATTTTTAATTTTAGTTTCTTGTGTATAATTTGGAGTTTAGTATGACGTCCATTATCACTGAACTAGTATACATATTTGTTTGGGGGCCAGCTGAAGGACGCCTCCGGGTGCGGGAGTTTCTCGCTGCATTGAAGACCCATGGGTGGCCTTCGGCTGTTGTTTGCTCTATGGTCGGGTTGTTGTCTCTTTGACACATTCCCCATTTCCATTCTCAATTTTATTTAAACTGCATTCAAATGTTTTTAAAACAGTGGTTTTGTCTGATGTGCTGTATTTATTTTTTATCTTTTAATATACGATAAAGGATACCAAACAAACTGCAGAAAAAGCAAATCTGCAAATCAAAGGCATCAAGACAGTCGATAATCTTCGTACTCTTTTGTATATTGATATTAAATAAAGGCAACAGTAGTATACCGCTGTTCGAAATTCATAAATCGATTGAGAAAAAACAAATCCGGGTTACAAACTAAAACTGAGGGAAACACATCAAATATAAGAGGAGAACAAAGACACACTAAAATGCAACACACACAGAAACGAACTAAAAGATAACAATAGCCATTTTCCTGACTTGGTACAGGACATTTTAAGAAAAAGTGGTAGGTTGAACCTGGGTTTGTGACTAGCCAAACCTCCCGCTTTAATGGCAATGTTAAATATAACACTAAAATGACAACATTACATGACAGGACTAGAATACAAATAAATGGAAGAACATACAGGACAGAGAAACACACAAATAAACAATACAATAGAACATAACGACAAGCTAATAGTTATCAAAGGTGCCAGGACTAAAGATGAAGAGCATTGATTACCCAAACTTCCAAAAAGTTGTGCCAAATACGGCTAGGTTATCTGCCTGGGATAAGAAATTATTAAGTATTTAGAATAATTCATCTTTTTGCAAACAGTAAATTTATAAAATATAAAAATGACCATATAACTGATATACATGTTAACACCGAAGTGGTGACTAACTACTAAAATGAAAGATGTATTACTGAATATCTATGATAAGTGTTAAAAGGAGCAAACATTATGAGACAGCAATTCAAAAAACATTTAACTAAACAGGCCTTAATGAAAGCTCTGTCATTTTGCTGTTTCAAGTGTGTGTTATGTTATGTATTCCTATCCTTTTTTTATTTAGAGACCCTGTATGTTTGGCTCCTCAATTCAAAGAGTGCTACAAACTTTCACTTGCCATACTTATTTTTTTTTCTAAATTTACCATTTTTTTTTCAAGAAACTACACCACTCTGAAATATGTTATATCTTTAACTTTCGGTTACGAAAGAGCTTAATTACATAAGATATGTTGCTGTTCGAGATCAGAAATATGCAATAGTTTCTTCTGGTTCCCACTGTTGCTTATTTTTATAACAAGGGAGATTCGAGGTTGACTTAAGGTGGGATGCTTTGACTTAATTGAAAAACCGAGGTATTTTATTGTAAAACATCGCCTAAATTGTTTTTTTCAGTACATAAAGGTCAGATATTGTCAAGACGTCGATTAGATTTTTTTTTTCGGATCAAGGCAAATATTTCTTTCAAGTTTGATAGCTACAAATGCAGCAACATTTGTAAATAGATATAAGAAGATGTGATATGAGTGCCAATGAGACAACTCTCCATCCAAGTCAAAATTTATAAAAGTAAACCATTATAGGTCAAAGTACGGTCTACAACACGGAGCCTTGGCTCACACCGAACAGCAAGCTATAAAGGGCCATATAACTGAAAAAAAATCATAATTATTATATGTTTCCGATTATCATTCTTTTATTCATATGTACATGAATGGCTTATGCAAATGTCTTTTTTTTTTAGATAACTATGTCTTCAATTCCGTTTTGTGAACCTTGCCAAAGAGAAAACAATACAGCAGAGGCAGTTAGCTGGTGTTGTGACTGTGTTGAATCATTATGTCAGAATTGTAATAATGCGCATCGAATCAATAAAATTACTCTTGCACATACACTAAAGAAAATAGAAGATATGCCGCCAGAGATATCCCCAAGTTTAACATCTCAAAAGTATTGTCCTTTGCATTCGGATCTAATTTTAGATCTGTACTGTGCATATCATAATGCACTGTGTTGCCGATCATGCATGACGGAAAAACATAGAGGGTGCGATAGGATGCAGTCAATAGATACTGTCGCAAAGGGAATCAAACAATCGCCTTTGTTACAGACCGTGACGAAAGATATGGATGAAGATATTCAATTATTAAACAAATTAGCACAGAACCGAACCGAAAATTTAAAAAGACTAGATAAGCAAAAGGACGAAATAACGAAATCTATTGCTGAAATTAAACAAAACATTATTGATCGTCTTGAAGCATTAGAGCATGCATTGCTATCAGAACTGTCATCTGTGCATCTTTTGAAATCATCAAACATTGAAAAGCAGGAGGATAAGGTTTCGGGGTTAATCGAAAAGGTAAACGAGCATAAAAAGGAGCTAGATTTTGTAAAAGAATTTGGCTCAAATAGCCAAGTTTTTATTACACTTCATAATTTGAAAACGTCCACCACTGAAGAAAGAAAACAAATCAAAGTACTAATACATTCTTTAAAAGATATAAATATTGTATATATCCATCCAAAAAATCAGGAATCTTATTTGACAACTTTAGGAATATTGACAACAAAGCTTGATCCTTGTAGTCAACTTTCAAGTGATCAAAAGACCAAAAAAGATAATTATACACTTCCAATGATAAACAGTCGCCCGACAACACAGATCAACAAAAGACCCGAAATACGCTCTCCCTCAAAGACCGAAGCAGAAACAGGCCCACTTTCAGGAAGGTTCTCGAAAGCATCAAATATATCGACGAAAACCAGATATTCAAAATCATCTGTAGATGGATGTAAATCATCATAAATATTTTATATTATGTAAATAAACTGCATGAGATTTACTAGAAAGTATATATTTTATATGTGAATTCTTGTACAACATAAACATTTGAAATACCTAGTACATTGTAGTACATAAAGTTTTGTTTATACATAAAAGCATATGTAACGTTGTTGCTGGTTGCATTTTTAAGTGCGATATTGAAATACAATTCACAGATTCATGGAGTGAACTACTAGTTTCTAACGTATATTTTACATACACGTAAAGGAGAACACATTCCATCAAATTTTTAAACCAAAACACAGTCTGCAATGAACCAGCTTCTACAGACACTAAATGAAACATGTTGAATTTAAGCATCTTAGAAACAACCATAAATGTAACTGAAAAGGGGTGGTTGTGGGAAATACGTGTAGAAAAAGCACGTGTGTTTATGGATTTTTATGATATATTGAGTTTTTTTTTTGGTTAAAATTTCGTCTTACATTTTAAATATATTTTGCTTTTGGTGCAAACATTTTAAAAATGAGTATTCTTGTCTTCGATACGTGTTAGGTAAACGATTATCACATAGCAAGATTATACATATATGATTTTACAAAGGTCCCCGATCAAAAATGTTCGTAACGATAACTGAATATCAAATGCTGCATATACTTTATAAGGATAATTATAAATTAAAAGTAAAAACATACAGAACCATAGCTGCTAGCCATATAATACATTAATAATGTGTCTGAGAATTATTCTTAACGAAGAAAGCAAATATAACACGATATTGTCTTCTCAAGTATCAAGGATTATAGTAGGATTCTTCATAATTTCTTCGTCGTAATTGACTTCCGCTGGCAGACATTCAAAATTTTGCTTAACTCCATATCGGTTTATTTTTATAGATGTCTTATGCTTCAGCTTGTTTGTTGGTTCTATACGCACAGCATTCAATGATGAAATAGCTGGATCTTCATCAAAATAGTTGTATGGTAATAGGTAAAAGCTTACTTCCATCCCCGGGGTAGTAGTAACCGGCAGGTCTTCAGTGTGTGGAATATGATGAACTCCCATAGTGATCCATGCTACTAAATCCTACAAATATAGATAACAAGTCACCTTCAAAATAGAAAATATTAGTTAAAAAGAAAATTCTATTTTATTTTATATTGAACATCAATTCGCTAAAACAAATTTAAGCAAAAAGTTCCGTTTATTTTCTGTATACGTCTTTAAGGTAGATAGGGTGTCTTCCTCCATCTTGGATTTTGAAATACAAGAAAACAATCGGTCTAGATCTTTAATAAAAGGTGCAAATTTTGAGAGTAGTAGGTAATTCATGTGTAAGAATTTTCATTTCAATAGAGAAAATGACATATTTTATCATATTTTTGGTTGTATTTTACAGAAAAACAGAATACTTTTGTTTGATTCTATTTTTTCCAACTTTGCCACATAAGGGGAGGCAACTCAAATGTAAGGGCAGATAATTCAGATAAAGTTACTTTTACAATAGAATGTGTTAGGAATTTACCTATTTTATTATGTAGCAAGAAAACGGGTCCCGTTACCCCATTTTTTCTTTTTCTTATCTGAAAGCATACTATTAGAGCTATTTTCTCATATTTTATCTCAAAATTCTATGGTGTAGTTTTCGTTTTATGGCAGAAAATTGGGTTTTCCATGCATAATCTATACAAAATCTGTCAATTTTGCACAACCTGTAGCGTGAAAATAAGCCCCGTGACCCATTCTTTTTATTATTTTTTTTTAAAAAGCATGATATAAACAACATTTTGGCAAATTATTAAAAAATTCTATGGATTATAATTTAGACACCCCATCTACCTTAAGGGTTTGTTTTAAGCATTACATAAGTTCATGTCTTCCTGTACTGTTAATGTCATTTCAGTTTGAAATGTACTGTGAAATACAGCCACCGACATTAGAGTATGACAGATGAGTGCATATCAATTACTGTAGGTTACATACAACCCTGCTTTCATTAACTTTAAACATTCTTTTAAAAGGTGTTATTTATTATTATTTTGTTTATTTAAGTAATGGCTTTAATATTTTTTCTGTCTATGAAGAAATAACATCAAAAATGTGGTGCACACGGAATAACCCGCGTAGCGGGTTATTTTAAAGTGTGCACCACATTTTTTATGTTTTTTCGAATAGACAGAAAAAATAATACAGTCATTTCTTATAATTTAATTCTTAATTCCATTTTAAACCAGAGTAAATCATGAAAAACGTTGATGACGTCAAGGTCACATGACAAAATTATGTCTATGAGCTGATAAACAAAACAACGTCAGCTAATCGGAAGACGCGTTACATCCAAAATTAAATTATAAATCGGTGTATTTGAGTTTTTGTTATCTTTCATACTGTTGATTTGGGTTAAATGATTTTCCTTCAGAATTGATTTTTATTTTATGGCGATGATAAAAATAACTTGACCCGGTCGATTGTTTTAAGTGTATGTTTGGAACCACGCCATCGGCTGTCTTAGTTAATATCATTATCTTTTATCTTTTTTTTTCAAATGAACTTGGCAGATCTTATCGGTTATTTTTACATTTACCTCATCAACAACTGATTCGTTATCATTAATAAAGTTCTGAAAATGTACTATTGGGTCTTCGGCATCTAGAATAGAGTATAAAGAACTACTCGTTGGTTCCGAGTCCTTATATTTAGTAACGGTAACTTGATATCTAGCCCAACTTATACTCGGCTCGTTACCTTTGCCTTCTGGTAGGATTTGTTTCGACATTCCTGTATTCAGTATTCGATAACTTTTACTCTTTTCGTAAGCTTTCCTCGTTTTGTCATCTTCTTTGTAAAGAAGTAAATATTTTGGAGTTTCAAAATTAAATTTATACGCAGCTTCTTTCTCCGTTTTCTTTAGAGTAGACGAAAACTTATGTTGAAATAATCTTGAACCCGGGTCTTTTGAAAACTTATTCGATAAATCTTCAGTTTCAATGTCAACCGTCGCAAATCTATTTTCTTTTCCTTTTACATCTAAATCGGCTTTAAAATTGAAAATATGATGGTGTATGTTAGCTGCCAAATTCTCATGAAGTTTGAAACTGTATTTAGTTTCATTTTTAGTATAAAACGTACCTAATACGTAGCCAGTGGAAACGGCCTTTACTTGTACTGCACCGTTCGGATAAAATGTAAAGTCGATAATGTAATCATAGTTGACAATAACGATAATAGTTCTCAAAACCAGTACCGTTGTTTCCATTCCTTCATAAAACCTACCATGATAAAACGAGTAGGAATGGTGTCTTCGTAATGGCATACCTATATTATATTCAAACAGACAGAATACGTTTTCATACGAAAAAGGTCTGTCTGACTCCACCAGCAACGTCGTCCCTACAAATGTAGCGTCCTTTGGACAATCGACACCAGGTACTAAACCTTGTGCACGAGATCCGATTAAACCTACACTATCTAAATAGTTAGCCATAGCTTGCATGGGTTTGTACCCTGAATAAAATACGGCAATGTCTTGTAAGCCTATTTCATATGCAATCCTTTCTTTCTTGAATTTTAAATCATATATTTGTGGACCTCTTGTTGTGGACATCCGGAAATCAAATTCCCAGGACATATAATTGACATGACGATCATTCACATTATATCTTTTTCCGTCAGGTGATACTTGCACTGGATTTCTTAAAAGAGGACTAATTGGTGGTATGCCACGTTGTTTCGCTGTAGAAAAATTATCAGTGTTCACATTTGGAAATTGAATTTTAATAATAGATCCTTTATTTGCAACGTAATAGTTTAAAACATCTAAAAGAGTGTCATAAAGTTCTCCATTAAACCATATGTTTTCTATTGTGTAATTAGTTACCTCCATGTCTACCAATACAGAAAAATCAAGAGGATGTAAAATGTAATATTCAGCAAATTGCGACAGCCAATACCACGTTTTACGTCTTCTTTCTCCAGACAGTGCAGACGATACCGGTGTTATGTACCTAATGATTAAGCATTTACTATCACAATTTAAAAGTCGTCCCCCGTACAACTCTTCAAGCATTGTTCCAAGGAGTTGGTCAATTTCTAAATTGAGCATTTCTATTACCCCTATATGTTCCGGTCCCGTAGTGGGACGATATATAAACGGAATAGACTGTCTTTTATATGGAACAGGTCTATGACCAGTTGGATTGGGTAAAGGACCAACAATTATTTCTTCGATATCTGGTATTTGTTTATCACCTCTGAAGATTATGACATGCGCTTCTCTTTGAGGCTTTTTTGCATTCCTGTCAAGATGATCAAGGACGGAGCTCTTACTAGGTAGATGAATTTCACATGAGTAAACATAACTAGTATTTACTTTCATATCTGCTGCTTTGACCAAATTAAGACTTTGTTGCAAATGTAAGTAATTCATTAATGCTTCAATTTCTTTTGAAGTCAAATCGCGAAAAACAGAAGGATTATCAGATTCCTTTAGATCAATTTGACCATACTGTCCTTTCTCTTTTCTGCGACAGGTAGGTAGATGCTTTCTATTGCTATGAGTATTAATAACTACCACTATGATTGCAATTACTAGAGATATTGTTATAAGTAGCAAGAGTAAAACGAGTAAACGCCGTCCATCGACTGATTGCCTGATGCTAGGATCTGCCATGATCACAGGGAAAAGCTGTTAGTTTTCACACTGCAATCTTTTGATACTTAATATTCCTGAAATATTATTAGTATGTTAATTTCAAACTTTATCGGCATGTGTAGAGAAGTGGCATGTATTAATATTATGAATAAAAATAAATGAGGGGTATATGAGAAGACACAGCAACCGAACAATATAAAAACACCTAGGGATTACCATACGGTCTACAACAAAAGACAGTTTCGGTACATACACAATTTATATATACGTAAAATTAAAAAGTATTTTGACTAGCGGGAGAAACAAGGAGAAAAACGAGTCACGCCGAGAAGGTAAAAACAAATAAATCTTTCATTTTCCGACAATTGTACAAATAAAACAAAGATTTATTTATGCATATATAACTCTTTAAACAACCAAAAGATTTGTAATAAATGTTGCCCCCATTAAATGAAATTATATGAAATTTTCATATGAGTGAAAAGTATGAAGTTCAAGTTGCAGTTGCAGTTCATTGTTATCATATAATGACCGCAAATAAGTATCACAAAACAGAACAGCATGATTTGCATACTTTCGTTAAGGGTTTGTGATATCATACAAGTTTAATTTATCTTAAATATAGAAAACAGGAGATGTGTTATGATTGAAATGGGACAACTATCCACCAGAGACCAAATCTACTAAATACTGAGTCAACAAAATGTGTTACACTGGCATTGAAAGTAGTAAAATTGACAGATTGCAATGCATATTTTTGTTTAATTAAAATATAAAATAATGCGTTTGCTTTTTATAAGAGCAGTGATGATCATTTAATGACAGTTGTTATATCTCCCACAAACATACACACAAACAAATATACACTCTAAGGGCATGGAATCAAGCATAATATATATAAACGTCACGGATAAAAAAAAGTATAAAATGCACATAAATTATGCATGCTAAGTATATTCATATATAAATCAATTACTGAAGTATTTGTCCAGTGAATGTTCGCACAGATTGTCATAAAATATAAAAGTACAATATATTTCCACTTGTCAGACGGTTTGATTCCTGAAACTTGTTTTATTATAACATATAAATTTACAAGAATGTGCCTCCTTCAGTATCAATTATTAAAGAAGGATTTTCTTTAATTTCCTCGTCATATTTATTTTTTTCTGGTACACACTGAAGACTTTGTTTGACGCCATAACGGTTAATGTTAATAGATGTCTTCAGCTTGGCATTATCTTTTGGTTCAATACGGACAGCATTCAAGGAAGAAATAGCTGGATCTTCATCAAAATAGTTGTATGGTAATAGGTAAAAGCTCAATTCCATTCCCGGAGTAGGTGTAACCGGCAAGTCTTCAGTATGTGGTATATGGTGAATACCCATCGTGATCCATGCTACCAAATCCTAAAATAAATTACCAATGATTTTTTCAATGAGCATAATTGTTGCATCTTCAACTTACATAAGAAGTTAATGCATTTTTCTTTCTTTTTATATTTGTGATATATTTCTCATGTAAATCTACTTTAAGGAAAGCTCTTATGGTATTCTGATAAGAAGGTATATGAATGCAGTTTTATCAAAACATCAGAAAACATGTCAAATGCCGTTTCCACTTAACAAAATGAAAATGCATACTTCCATTGACAATATGAAATAAATATACTCTTTAACGTAAGTTCTTTATTTCTTTATTACGAAAAAGAAATTTTGGGGAAACGTCGATAAAACGAAACCGATGGACACAAAACAACGAAAGACATTTAGAGACCAATATAAGGTTTTTTACAATAGACAAGTGTTTATATAATATCTGGTCGTATTCTTTAGTTAGTTAATTTATATTTTACATGCGACACGATGTCATTAAAATTGGTTTCGTTTTCTGCATAAGAGAATAATACTTGTAAGGTGCTTGTTAAAGATGATTATGTGAATTAGGTATTGGTTTATACGTGTCATTTTTGCGAATGCTACAGGCATAAATGCAACAGATCGGTTCAGGCTATCCCCACTGTTTTCCGATTTTATGGAATGCAACCTGCCTTTTTGGAATGATGCAATGTTGTGTATGATCATTTTTGCTTTGTGAGAACTTGCATTTTATATTTACAGTGTATTGTTTACTTGGGCATGATGAACCTAAATTGTCTGAGCGAAAGATTGTTTATCATTCACGCCGTCACAGCTTTATTGAGTCAATACTCACATGTAGTCATGTCAATCGAACCTCAAATGTAGTCTTGTCAGTCGAACCTCGCATGTTATCATGTCAGTCGAATTTTGTATGTAATCATGAATGTATTTGTGTCACTCTTTTTGTTTCTCGTTTTTTTTTCGATTCTACATGGTGTGTAATAAATAGATATATAGTGATATAAACTTATTGGAAAATGCCTTGATTTACGCATATTTCTAAACCTTTTGCATTAATAGCGCATAATGAAGGTCATTTTAGATGTTGCGTACATCGAGTTAGTTATCGGTGCATCTTTTTTTCTATCATTTAGCATGTTTACAACAAAAAAATTACTATGGCAATCAAGTTACAGAAATATATATTACGTCCATGTATGCAAAAACAATTCATGATTAAATACCCTAAATGTCAGTAAAATAATCTTGCTTATATCATGTATATAGTTGTAAACATTCTAAATTTAATTTTTCCATGGTCTATAACACTGTTTTACTCCCAAGATAAAACATGCATGGTTTCACTTCTCTTAAATTGTTTATCTAATAGGTTATCATTTAGTTTTCATACATAAAATTTTTAATATTTCATATATAACTTACTTCATCCACAATTGATTCATTATCATCAATAAAATTCTGAAAATGTACAATTGGGTCTTCAGCATCTAGAATTGAGTATAAAGAACTGCTGGTTGGCTCCGAATCGTTGTATTTTGTCATGGCAACTTGATATCTGGCCCAACTTATACTTGGCTCGTTTCCTTTTCCTTCTGGGAGGATGAGTTTAGACATTCCATTATTGAGTATTCGATAACTTTTACTCTTCTTATACGTTTTTCTTGTTTTAACATCTTCTTTGTATACGAGTAAATATTTTGGAGCTTCAAAATCGAATTTGTATGCAGCATCTTTCTCTGTTGTTTTGAGAGAAGTCGAAAATTTATGTTGTATTAATCTTGCATTCGAATCTTTCGAAAACTTGTTCGGTATATCTTCAGTTTCAATGTTAGCTGTTGCAAATCGGTTTGCAGTTCCTTGAATGTCTAAATCGACTTTAAAGTTAAACAAATGCTGATGTATGTTAGCCGCCAAATTCTCGTGAAGTTTGAAGCTGTATTTACTTTCATTGTCAGTATAGAAAGTGCCAAGTACATAACCAGTAGAAACAACTTTGACCTGCATAGCTCCATTAGGATAAAACATGAAATCAATTACGTAATCATAATTAATAATGACTGCAATTGTTCTTAAGATCAACACCGTTGTTTCCATCCCTTCATAAAACCTGCCATAAGAAAACGAATAGGAATGATGTCTACGTAAGGGCATACCCAGGTTGTATTCAAAAATACAGAAAGCATTTTCAAATGAGAATGGACCATCTGACTCCACTTGAAATGTAGAACTAAGATACGTGGCGTCTTTTGGACAATCAACCCCAGGGACAAGTCCTTTTGCTTGTATTCCTATTAAACCAACACCATCTAAATAATTAGCTAAAGCTTGCATTGGTTTGTATCCTGCATAAAATACAGAAAGTTCTTGTAAACTCAATTCATACGCAATCCTTTCGTTCTTAAACCTCAAATCATACAGTTGTGGGCCTCTTATTGGTGACATCCCGAAATCAAATTGCCAAGACATATATTCCACATGGCGATCCTTCACATTATATCTTTTTCCATCAGGTGAGACTTGAACTGGGTTTCTTAAAGGAGGACTAATTGGTGGTGTACCGCGTTGGTTCATTGTAGAGAAGAGATCACTGCTAACATCTGGAAATTTAATCTTTGAGAACGATCCCTTATTTGCTTCATAGTAATCTAATACATCCGTTAGAGTTTTATATAGTTTTCCATCAAACCAAACTTGTTCGATTGTAAAGTTTGGTCCATCCAAGTCTACCAATACAGAAAAGTCTAGAGGGTGTAGGATGAAGTATTCCGCAGTTTGTGACAGCCAATACCATGTTTTACGTCGTTTTTCTCCGGACTGCACAGACGATACCGGTGTTATGTATCGAATCATTAAGCATTTGCTATTACAATTAAATAGTTTTCCGTCGTAAACATCTTCAAACATTGTTCCAAGTACTTGGTCAACTTTCACTGTCACCATTTCTATCGACCCAACATGTTCTGGACCAGTGATAGGCCGGTATATAAATGGAATTGATTTTTTCCTATTAGGATTCGGCCTATGTCCGGTTGGATTAGGTAAAGGGCCTACTATTATTTCTTCAATATCTGGCGTTTGTTTGTCTCCTCGTAGCAGTATAACACGTGCTTCTCGTGCTGGCTTTGTTGCCTTTTTGTCTAGATAATCGAGCACGGAATTTTTCCTTGGCAGGTATAATTCACTTAAAAATACGTAGCTAGTATTGACTTTCATATCTGCTGTTTTAACCAAGTTGAGCGTTTTTTGAGAATATAAATACTTCATCAAACCTTTAACTTCTTTTGAAGTTAAATCATGGAACACAGATGGATTATCTGATTCCTTAAGATCAATATGACCATACTGTCCGTTTTCTTTACTTTCACAGGTAGTTATCTTCTTTTTCCTCGTGTGAATTGTTATAAGTATTGCTACAATACAAATAAATAGTACTAATGCTACAAACGAGAAGATGAAAGTTGCTAAACGCCATCTACCCAATGATCGCCTGGCTTTAGGATCTGCCATAATACCAGCTGTGAAAGAAAAACAAACATAACTAGATAGGATAGTTCATACTTTATCTAAAATCTTAATTTACAATTCTGAAAATATTTTACGAATTATGCTGAGTTTACCCGTTGCAATATATATATATATATATATATATATATATATATATATATATTCAGTATACCACATTTACAGAATTGTTTTACAGAATTTAAAGGCTAAATTAATCACTTAAATAGCATTTCAGGGGAGTATGGGTAGACTGGAAGGAGTTGGGAGGGGGGCAAACTTCTGAAAGTGACAACATTTTTTGCATAATGAAATACAATAATTCATAACATTAGGTTCTTTGCTTTAATTCTACGCATGGCGATCATTTAATTTCTTGAACTTTATTTCGAAGTGAAATCAGATAGCTTGTCAAGATCGAGTAAATCAAGGAATTACATGCATGCATTCAGCAGATATACATGTAAAATTCCCCCCCTCTCCCACCCGGTAGACTTACTCCCAGCACCTACTAATTTGTTGTTTTGTTTCATTTTCTCTCGTCCTGGAGATGCATGGAATATTGGCTATTAAGTGTAAAGTAAACAACAATCAATCCTGTCATTTATTTGAAATTGTTCAGCTTTCCGTTTCGAAACTAAATGAGGTCAAAAACTTTAAGTCAAAATTATACATAAGGATAACAGGAAGTATTAAGAATATACAGTACAACAAATCACACCAACTATAAACACCCAACTCCAAAAAGTTAAACAAACGCACGACGACAAACAACCAACTCCTAAAAGTTACACATACATACGACGACAAACAACTAACTCCTCTAAAAGTTAAGACATACATACGACGACAAACAACCAACTCCTCTAGAAATTAGACATACATACGACGACAAACAACCAACTCCTCTAAAAGTTAAACATACACACGACGACAAACAACCAACTCCTAAAAGTTACACATACATACGACGACAAACAACCATATCCTCTTAAAGTTAGACATACATACGACGACAAACACCCAACTCCTAAAAGTTAAACATACACACGACGACAAACAACCAACTCCTAAAAGTTACACATACATACGACGACAAACAACCAACTCCTAAAAGTTAAACATACATACGACGACAAACAACCATATCCTCTTAAAGTTAGACATACATACGACGACAAACACCCAACTCCTAAAAGTTAAACATACACACGACGACAAACAACCAACTCCTAAAAGTTACACATACATACGACGACAAACAACCAACTCCTAAAAGTTAAACATACATACGACGACAAACACCCAACTCCTCAAAGTTAAACAAAGACACGACGACAAACAACCAACTCCTAAAAGTTACACATACATACGACGACAAACAACCAACTCCTAAAAGTTAAACATACGCACGACGACAAACAACCAACTCCTAAAAGTTAAACATACATACGACGACAAACAACCAACTCCTCTATAAGTTAGAAATACATACGACGACAAACAACCAAGTCCTAATAGTTAAACATACGCACGACGACTAACAACCAACTCCTAAAAGTTAATCATACATACGACGACAAACAATCAACTCCTAAAAGTTAAACATACGCACGACGACAAACAACCAACTCCTAAAAGTTAAACATACATACGACGACAAACAACCAACTTCTCTATAAGTTAGACATACATACGACGACAAACAACCAACTCCTCTAAAAGTTAAGACATACATACGACGACAAACAACCAACTCGTAAAAGTTAAGACATACATACGACGACAAACACCCAACTCCTAAAAGTTAAACATACACACGACGACAAACAACCAACTCCTCTAAAAGTTAGACATACATACGACGACTAACAACCAACTCCTCTAAAAGTTAAGATATACATACGACGACAAAAAACCACCTCCTCTAACAGTTAGACATATATACGACGACAAACACCCAACTCCTAAAAGTTAAACATACATACGACGACAAACAACCAACTCCTAAAAGATAAACATACATACGACGACAAACACCCAACTCCTAAAAGTTAAACATACACACGACGACAAACAACCAACTCCTCTAAAAGTTAAGACATACATACGACAAAAAACAACCAACTCCTCTCAAAGTTAGACATACATACGACGACAAACAACCAACTCCTCTAAAAGTTAAGACATACATACGACGACAAACAACCAACTCCTCTAAAAGTTAGACATACTGTACATACGACGACAAACAACCAACTCCTCTAAAAGTTAAGACAAACATACGACGAAAAACAACGAACTCCTCTAAAAATAAGACATACATACGACGACAAACAACTAACTCCTCTAAAAGTTAGACATACATACGACGACAAACAACCAACTCCTCTAAAAGTTAAGGCATACATACGACGACAAACAACCAACTCCTCTCAAAGTTAAGACATACATACGACGACAAACAACCAACTCCTCTAAAAGTTAAGACATACATACGACGAAAAACAATCAACTCCTCTAAAAGTTAGACATACATACGACGACAAACAACTAACTCCTCTAAAAGTTAGACATACATACGACGAAAAACAACCAACTCCTCTAAAAGTTAAGACATACATACGACGACAAACAACCAACTCCTCTAAAAGTTAAGACATACATACGACGACAAACAACCAATTCCTCTAAAAGTTAGACATACATACGACGAAAAATAATCAACTCCTCTAAAAGTTAAGACATACATACGACGACAAACAACCACCTCCTCTAAAAGTTAAGATATACATACGACGACAAACAACCAACTCCTCTAAAAGTTAGACATACATACGACGACAAACAACTAACTCCTCTAAAAGTTAGACATACATACGACGACAAACAACCAACTCCTCTAAAAGTTAAGACATACATACGACGACCAACAACCAACTCCTCTAAAAGTTAGACATACATACGAGGACAAACAATCAACTCCTCTAAAAGTTAAGACATACATACGACGACAAACAACCAACTCCTAAAAGTTAAACATACATACGACGACAAACAACCAACTCCTCTAAACGTTAAGACATACATACGACGACAAACAACCAACTCCTCTAAAAGTTAGACATACATACGACGACAAACAATCAACTCCTCTAAAAGTTAAGACATACATACGACGACAAACAACCAACTCCTAAAAGATAAACATACATACTACGACAAACAACCAACTCCTCTAAAAGTTAAGACATACATACGACGACAAACAACCAACTCCTCTAAAAGTTAGACATACATACGACGACAAACAACCAACTCCTCTAAAAAATAAGACATACATACGACGACAAACAACCAACTCCTCTAACAGTTAAGACATACATTCGATGACAAACTCTAAAAGTTAAACATACATACGACGACAAACAACCAACTCCTCTAAAAGTTAAGACATACATACGACGACAAACAACCAACTCCTGTAAAAGTTAAGACAAACATACGACGAAAAACAACCAACTCCTCTAAAAGTTAGACATACATAAGACGACAAACAACTAACTCCTCTAAAAGTTAGACATACTGTACATACGACGACAAACAACCAACTCCTCTAAAAGTTAGACATACTGTACATACGACGACAAACAACCAACTCCTCTAAAAGTTAAGACAAACATACGTCGAAAAATAACCAACTCCTCTAAAAGTTAGACATACATACGGCGACAAACAACCAACTCCTCTAAAAGTTAGACATACATACGACGAAAAACAACCAACTCCTCTAAAAGTTAAGACATACATCAGACGACAAACAACTAACTCCTCTAAAAGTAAGACATACTGTACATACGACGACAAACAACCAACTCCTCTAAAAGTTAAACATACTGTACATACGACGACAAACAACCAACTCGACGACAAACAACCAACTCCTCTAAAAGTTAAGACAAACATACGACGAAAAACAACCAACTCCTCTAAAAGTTAGACATACATACGACGACAAACAACCAACTCCTCTAAAAGTTAGACATACATACGACGACAAACAATCAACTCCTCTAAAAGTTAGACATACATACGACGACAAACAACCAACTCCTCTAAAAGTTAGACATACATACGACGACAAACAACCAACTCCTTTAAAAGTTAGACATACATACGACGAAAAACAACCAACTCCTCTTAAAGTTAAACATACATAAGACGACAAACAACTAACTCCTCTTAAAGTTAGACATACTGTACATACGACGACAAACAACCAACTCCTCTAAAAGTTAGACATACTGTACATACGACGACAAACAACTAACTCCTCTAAAAGTTAAGACAAACATACGACGAAAAACAACGAACTCCTCTAAAAATTAGACATACATACGACGACAAACAACTAACTCCTCTTAAAGTTAGACATACTGTACATACGACGACAAACAACCAACTCCTCTAAAAGTTAGACATACTGTACATACGACGACAAACAACCAACTCCTCTAAAAGTTAAGACAAACATACGACGAAAAACAACGAACTCCTCTCAAAGTTAAGACATACATACGACGACAAACAACCAACTCCTCTAAAAGTTAAGACATACATACGACGACAAACAACCAACTCCTCTAAAAGTTAAGACATACATACGACGACAAACAACCAACTCCTCTCAAAGTTCGACATACATACGACGACAAACAACTCACTCCTCTAAAAGTTAGACATACATACGACAACAAACACCCAACTCCTCTAAAAGTTAGACATACATACGACGACAAACAACCAACTCCTCTAAAAGTTAGACATACATACGACGACAAACAACCAACTCCTCTAAAAGTTAAGACATACATACGACGACAAACAACCAACTCCTCTAAAAGTTAGACATACATACGACGACAAATAACCAACTCTCAAAGTTAGACATACATACGACGACAAACAACCAACTCCTCTAAAAGTTAAGACATACATACGACGACAAACAACCAACTCCTCTCAAAGTTAAGACATACATACGACGACAAACAACCAACTCCTTCAAAAGTTAAGACATACATACGACGACAAACAACAAACTCCTCTAAAAGTTAGACATACATACGACGACAAACAACCAACTCCTCTAAAAGTTAAGACAAACATACGACGACAAACAACCAACTCCTCTAAAAGTTAAGACATACATACGACGACAAACAACCAAATCCTCTAAAAGTTAGACATACATACGACGACAAACAACCAACTCCTCTCAAAGTTAAGACATACATACGACGACAAACAACCAACTCCTCTTAATGTTAAAATATACATACGACGACAAACAACCAACTCGTAAAAGTTAAGACATACATACGACGACAAACACCCAACTCCTAAAAGTTAAACATACACACGACGACAAACAACCAACTCCTCTAAAAGTTAGACATACATACGACGACAAACAACCAACTCCTCTAAAAGTTACACATACATACGACGACAAACAACCAACTCCTCTCAAAGTTAAGACATACATACGACGACAAACAACCAACTCCTCTTAATGTTAAAATATACATACGACGACAAACAACCAACTCCTCTAAAAGTTAGACATACATACGACGACAAACAACCAACTCCTCTTAAAGTTACACATACATACGACGACAAACAATCAACTCCTCTAAAAGTTAGACATACATACGACGACAAACAACCAACTCCTCTAAAAGTTACACATACATACGACGACAAACAACCAACTCCTCTTAAAGTTAAGGCATACATACGACGACAAACAACCAACTCCTCTAAAAGTTAGACATACATACGACGACAAACAATCAACTCCTCTAAAAGTTAAGACATACATACGACGACTAACAACACATGCATTTTTCATATGCAAATTCCTATTTTCAGTTTTATTGTAACGAGGTTGTTTCTGCAAATTAGCATAAAATGTACAGGGAAATTTAATTTTAAAGAGTCTTTTTTTTTTGCAAACACAAAAAAATAAAACCATGAATGTTATCATGCCTTTCAGATAAATAGCTCCGACTGCTACGGTTATATTTGACAACCACTTGTCCTTTTAACACAAAAGATAACATAAGCACATGGTTCAAACAAACGTGTGCGTATTATGTAATAGTCAGTCTGTTTATCATGTAGAGAAATATATAACATAACCAATATTACGATACTGTGTGTCACATGCAGTCTTCCATTGTGTTAATTCCTATACTAAAGTTTAAAGCCAAATAACCGAACGTCCACCTCTACATATTGTTAAATAAGTGTATATTAGAATTAATAAAGTTTTCTTACGTATTTACAAATTTGAGATGTTATCCAGACAGAGTGTTCTTCTCAAGAAATGCACTATAAATGTATGTCGTTGCTATATTTCGCCAGCAGTCATCTCAACTAAATATGTCATTTACCTTGTCAAATTCTGTTTTGTAAACAGTAATAGATAACACACATTTGTTCAAGGTTAAATTTTACACTGATACGAGATACTTTATCAATTATAAATTTGTCAAGCAGAACATTTGCACTTGAATTTAATGCGATCGTTTAAAAAATACACACAAGATTGTACGCAACAACCAATTTGATGATATTTTTTTTAAAGAAGCCTAATTTTTTATCATAGTTTATGCTTAATAGATCTATTTAGGTGTTCGTAATGTTCAAGGTTATAGCGTTTCTTACTTTGTTAATCCGAAGAAGTTAATCATTCTCTTGTAAATTTGAATTTAGGTAAAGTTTTCCCCAAATTTAGTGTTTCTGTTCAAATTGGTAGAAAGCTATTTTATTCTTTTATTATTTTTATTCTTTTAAGGGCATATCATGGTAAAGAATTGGTTATGAATCATAGGGTGATCAAAAAGCAGGATGGTAGAAAAAGTAAAAATGAGCTTCGTCGGAAAATAAACTGGTCAGGAGTCAAAATTCATGTATCTAAACAAATCGGACATTATTTGGAACAACTTCCTTTTAAAGATAAATATTGATGTAAATGTGTCTGTGGTTGTGTGTAGAATTTTGTGTCTGCTCTCGTTATTGTAATGTTTTAGTTTTGTCAAGTTTTTTATCTATTTGTAGTGAATTTAGCACCAATTCAATTTATTGTTGAAATATATTATTTTTAAAATGTACCTGGTTCCCTTCGGAGTCACACTACCAACTACTCTTGCCAATGGATTTACATTTGGAAAATTACACCGCAACCACGTCAGAACGATAAGTGATAATATGTAGGAGTTATCCAGGCTGTCCTTGCAAATGCTGTTTCTGAAGGGAATCAATAAGGCTGTGCGGAATGTATATGTATTATAAATAGACAATAATAGTGCATTGACTTGACATATCAACGATATAAGGATGAGGCTTAGAAACGGGGAAATGCGAGGCTCTGCCGAGCTTTTTCCCCGTTTCGGGCCGAATCCTTATATCGTTGATATGTCAAGTCAATGCACTATTATTGTCTTTATACTGCAATCTAGAAAAAAAACATTTTCAATAGTTGTTAAATGTGTAAATGTTATTTATTTGATTTAAATATTGGGAAAAATCCCCCTTTAAAAAGGCCTCATACCGGTATCAGGCGGAGAAATAGACAACGCAATGAAATGTACATTACCTGTTGAAACCCGCAATCAATGGTGAACGAATTCGTTTGAGTATGGAATAAAATATCAACAATAAGCATAAAACATAATGATTTTTTTGGTTTCAAACAAAAAATATTAACAAGTGAAATATGTTTTCCAAAAATTGTAAAAGAAATAAGTTTGGGTCGTTCCACGCTTCATTGTATACATTGGAAACAAGAACAGGTTGAAGAGGTCGTATGAATAATTAAATATAGTTTCGGCAACTTCTATTTAAATATTCATGAGGAAAAGTGATATCGGGTCAGTGACTGTATATGACATAGAAATATACAGTCAACGCATTTTGACTGCTCAAATAGAACGAGTGCAGTATAAACATAAATGTCAACCTAGCTGCCCACATAAACAGTCACGTCCCAGTCGGAAAATTTTCTAAAGCAGATTTGGCACAACTTTTTTTGAATATTTGGTTTCAATTATATTCCGACTTCGTACTTGATTTGGCCTTTCAAACCTTTTAATTCTAGCGCCACTGATTTTTGTCGAAGAAACGTGCGTCTGGCATACTAAAATGACAAGCCTGGTATCTTTGATGAGTTTGTTTTTTCATCATGTGATCGATGAGGATAATTCAATTTAATGTCTTCTTTAAAATGATACAAATATAATACCAGTAATACAAATACTTGTGTCTAGATTAGTGGAAATGGAGATACTCCGAGTGCAGTTAAAACAAGTTTCCAGGACATGACTACATTTTATTCATATCTGCTAACATTTTAAAAACCCATGGAGGTTTGATGTAAGATGGCTCTCATCGTCCTACAAAACTTTTAAAGGGCCTTTCAATGTTATTTTAATGTTTTTAGTTGGTTGGTTTTTTTTTTTCTTTGCTTCTTCATACTTTAACAAACTTATAGACTAGTAAATTAATTATTTTGTTTTAAACTGTGACCAAAATTGTTCTTTCAAAATTTCCATTTTAGAGCTATCATGGGGGGAAATCCCCCGCAAATAGTGACAGTTGTCAGGTATGTTTATTCTTATATAATTTGTGTGTCAATTCAGCTTTATAGATTTTAAAAAATTCTATCAAGCCTGTAACAAATTTCCTATCGATTGATGAATGGTATTTTTCTCTTGAATGAAAGGAGAACATATTAGATTTTGGACCTTATTTGACCTAAACAACTGTGAAATCCAGGAAACACACCAGTAAAGGATTTAAATACCAAAAATGAAATTTTGGAGGTTAATTGAGTACCTATAGGACTTCTACAAGTGCATTTCTGTGCTTAATATGTGTTTTAAAAATGGCAACTTACATATGTTTATGTTGTAATATGTTCAAATTATAATTAGCTGCGGTATGGGTTTTACACATTGTTGAAGGCTGTGACATGTAGTTGCGTATATCCTCATCATTTGGGCTTTGGTGAATATGTGGACACGATTTTGTAGTGATGTATTATAAAGTTACGCTTGTTTCATGTGAAATTGTATAAAGTTATCTTTCTTTGAGCTGATTATGCACACCATACGGCATCACAGATATATATATATATTGTGTATTATCATCCCTGGATCTCAAATATGGTAGTTAAACCCATGCTTATGAAAAAAGTCCGTTTTGCAGTCGTGGGATGTATACATATGCAGTCACGTCCGATCGAAATGGGGACGTTAATACCGATGTCGAGTGTAAGGAGAGTGTCACGCTTGGACACAAAGAGCCTTTGTAATAGCTCTATTAGTCGTCCGTAAATGACCTGTTGCAATGCACAATGTCTGTCCATATTCAACATACTCTTACTGCATAGTTGTAATCCAAATTCCCATCCTTTATTCCGGTCAAACAACTTTGCAGAATCTTCCTATTGTAGTTTTTGTCCTGAATGGGCATGCAATATTTGCCACTAAACGTTAACGAACACAAACAAATAAGTCATATCAAAGTCACAATCAACTACTTATTTTTTTATAAGCAATATTTTCATATGCCCGTCTTATTAAGAAATCTGGTTATTTTGAATCGGGGAAGATTCAGAATCTAGACGGTTTCTCTCATTGAAGGTGTTATGGTAACCGTCTTTTATGGACTTGATATATGCTGTATTTAAACTTCAAGCGAAACAAACAAAATAACAATTTATAAAATAAACATAGATTATGTATAGAATTTACGTAAAAAGCGGCGAGAAGATGCAATTTGTTCACTTTAAATTGTTATTTCTCAAAATTCCGTCTATTTTTTTTTCATATCTAAAAATGATATGTTAACAGTAACTGTTATGTTTTAAAGATGTGAAACAAAATACCTAGATTCGGGATTGATTTGTCTTTACCGTCTTTTAATTCATATAAGATTGAGTAGTACGTAGACCTTTAGTTGCTTTCTTTTACGTCATTTGGTCTCTGGTTGAGAGTTGTCTCACTGTCAATCATACCACCATCTTTTTATTTTTATATGCAAAAGCATGAAAAACTACGATTTTGCAGCTTCACGATTCGAACACACCTCATTTATAAAGTGTTATTTTCATTGTTTTATAACACTGGGTCGATAACGCTGCTGGTCGACTGTTAGTCCATGAGGTCTCATTAGCTCAGTATCTACTTTGGTACTGACAATATTTATAACATTCCAACTCTCTCAGACAGAGTTCACCTTAAATGAATTTGGAGAATCTTTTTAATTTCCTTTTGATTAAATAGATATATGTACAGCTCCCCACGTTTTCAGTTATGGTACATTATTGGCTTTCAAATTTTGTGGTTTGATCGTTCCTGATGAGGGTAAATTTTTATTATGTAGTAAGCAAACGAGTCTCGTTTGCTTTCTTTTCCAACTAGGAAACCAACGTTCTAACTTTTATTATATTCAAGAAGGAACTTGTCAAGATAAGTCTTCATATTATCATATTAAACTAAATTTAAAATGACAGCAACCAAACAGCAAGTGCAGAGTTACAGGCTCCTAACATGGCACAGGCGCATAAACAATAATAACAAACATGTGTGTGAGCGCTCCACCTTTTTACCTTGGATAGCGGCGTAACAACACAACCAAGAAAACACTGTGAGAAAAAAAAAAAACACTTGGAAATGGCTTCAATCACCAGATTACCTCTAAACCCAACTAACATAAAGACAAAAGACACAGTACCAATCTAAAAGTAATTGCAGTTTCCGAAAGCTAGTTCAAAACAAATTACATCATATCCATATATCAGATTATGTTTCGTAAGGATTCCAATATACAGTATTTTTTGTTGTGTGGTTGATTTACCTTTAAAAGACATACCAGTGTAACTTTTAACGGACTCTTTCCTTAATTAGTTTATCTTAATTAACCATTACGAAAATATTCCTCGGCTAATCGTATTTGGTTGTCTCCCTTTAAAAAACCCATCAACGATACTAGGCTTATAATTTTGTACGCCAGACGCGCGTTTCGTCTACGAAAGACTCACAAGTGACGCTCGAATCCTAAAAGTAAAAAAGCCAAATAAGGTACGATGTTGTAGAGCATTGAAGACCCAAATTCCGTAAGGTTTTGCCAAATATAGCTAAGGTAATATAACCTGGAGTAGACAATCCTTATTATTTCAAACAATTCAAAGTTTTGTAAACATTTTAATTTATAATTATGACCATATCAATGATATTCATTGTCAACACTGAAGTTTATTTAACTATTTTTCCGTTTTTGTTTTGTTTTTTTGTGTGTGTTTTGTTTTGGCTAACAGTATTCTTGAATTTAATATATAGTATTATAAAAAGACACGAAGAAAGGGGAATGTACAGGAATTTTTTTTACGTCATACATGCAATAAATATTTCAATAACAAACTTGAAAGGTGACAATCATGCACTGATAGTAATCAATGGAACAAAAGAAGTTCAATACGTTCAATAACCGTTTAATGTTTTGTGTTTAATAATATTTAGTCGTAATTTCTTTGTTAACGTAAATACGATCGAAAGAAATCGACACTTTAAATCAAAACACAAAATATAGACAAACGTAGTTTTAAAACAAAGACAGGTCGGGGTACAAAGTGCGAAGGTAAGTTACATTTTTTGACCAAAGAATAGTAAACAATAAGGGGATGACCATTTGCATAAAAGGGGAAAGAACATATTTGAGAAATAGAAGACATTGAATACATTATCAAAACCATTATATCAAAATGAATGATCAAACAGCACCTTGACATAACTATCTAATATAGACTATCGACGCGAACCATACTAAGACACAAGGGTGAACTCATGTGCTCATGATAGTCAGGCAGTTCTTGCTTAACTCGTGAAATCTGTCATGTTTTAAATCCGATGATTTTATTTTCGGTTCTATTAAGGTATCATACAATGCTTTACTGTATTGGAGATGCCAAGGCATGATACCAATTCATTTACATGCCTTTTTAAAACTTGTTGAACCAAGTACAGTCTATCGTAATTTGTATCGACAAGAAAAGTTACCGTTGAAGCATGTGTAATAATTTATAAATTCTGTAAACAAGCTCATTTTTAGAAAGAAAAAAACAAGACTGTTATAATTTATCATTCGCTATCTAAAATCCCCTGTTAGTCAAACAGCATCAATGATACAGTAAGATTTTCAATAAAATATTTTGAATATTGGTTGATAGACACGAAACAACATTTAGAAGAAGAAAACCCATTTTAGCGAAGCTATATTTTATACAAGTTTAAATTATTGGTAACTTTTGTTTACTTCATTTTCAGATATGTCAGTAAGCAAAGTGTAGGACTGCATCATCATTCTTGCTTTTTTTTACACAAGAAAATTTAGGATTCGTTTAAATTCTTATTTACAATGGATTTGCGTGGAAAACCAGACATTAAGATTTCAGAACATTGTGAAAAGCATGACTCTAAAGAAATTGTCTCATGGTGTCCTGTGCATGACGTGGGCGTGTGTTCTGAATGTCAAGAAAATGACCATTCCGATTGTGATGGGCTGGAACCACTCAGTGAAATTGTCAGTATAGCTCAGCTTAACAGTGATTTCAAAACACTGAAAGTTAAGTTTGGAAACATAAGAAAAATATATAAAAAGTTGCAAAGAGAAAGAGAAGGCAATATAGAGAGTGTAAAAACTCAAAAAGTACAAATTCGCGATGAAATTAGGAAATTAAGAGAAAATCTAAATTATCATTTGATAGAACTAGAGAACAAACTCATCAGTGAACTGGATAAAACATGTGAAAAATACGCTACAAACCTTTCGGGAGAAATAACTGATTATAAATATCGAAATGCTGTTCTTGATTCACATGACGACGAATCGGCGAAAGCTAAGGAATATGGGTCTAATTTACAAATTATTTTAGCTGCTAAGAAAGGAATGGCGATTGCAAAACACGAGGTAGAACATCTTACGAAACTAAATGAGACAATTCGAAACTATTCAGTTGAATTCAAACTCGCCGAAGCCATAAAAGATGTTTTGAATATAAAATCGTTAGGCTCAGTTGAAACAATAGAAGCAAACGCTTACGTAAACTTGGAAATGCTTAATATCAATCCGTTCTTACCAAGTCTCAAAACTGTTAAACCAAAAACAACAGTTGAGAACAAAGAAGACCATCGATGGCATAGAACACGTTTAAAACGCAGTAAGGAGTTTAATATGAATACTTCTCTTGACAAGTTCCTTCCTGAAGTGTCTGGGGCTGCATTCATGCCAGATGAGAGCATTATTTTAGCTGATACAGCTCACAAGAGGCTTTTACATGTGAAGGACAAGGGTCAAATATTTCAAGAAGTTTCCTTGCCATTCGAACCGTTCGATGTGGCTGTACTAGGAAATTCGAAGCTCTTTATATCAATGTTGAATGATCGTCGAGTAGAAGTCCGTGATATCAATTCCATGGAACAAATTGATGAACTTATTCTCCCTAGTAACGCATCCGGTCTAAACGCGTATGAAGACAGTCTCTTGGTAGTAGTTTGTGAGAAAACTGGATTATATTTAGTTGGGAGCGATAATAGTATTAATATAATATCGATGAAACACAACGACGAAGGTCCAGTTGACATAAATGCAGAAACTATTAGTTATGCTGAAACAAAGAAATGTTTGGTGCATTCGTACACACATAGTGGAAAACGAAAATTTACATTGAAAGTTGATGGTTTTGGCTATATACATGGAATAGCGTTGTTAAAAGATAGCAGTATTCTTGTGGCTAAGCTTAGTCCAGGCAGACATAGTATAACGCACATTTCACAAGACGGGAAAGATAAAATGTTGAGATTAGAACTAAACGAAATAGCCTCACCAAGATCACTGGCGGTGCACCGAAAGAAACGAAAACTGCTATTGGTGCATGGAGTGAGGAAAATATCAATTTTTCAAGAACTATAACTAGCATAAATTACACATACAAAATTGAAATACTCAGTTTGTCAATGACGTAGCATTAGATATTTGCAATTCAATTGTTTTAATAACTATACTACCAGGGCTGTACCAAAAATGTGTATTGTTGAAGCCAAATTTTTGTTTGAATAAATAATTTGCCGAATTCAAATTCAAACATTTAATCATGAAGGGTAATATAACAAATATACATTTCCCATTTGTTAAACATTATTTACAATATTTTTGATCTCTGCTTCAAAAATAAATAGGCTTAGCATGAACAATACATACTTCTTTTGAAGGATATCACATTTGTTGGACATATATAAGATATTGCATAGCAACATATACAATCACAAAATATTAATATGGTGCCATTGTAGAATAAAAAAAAAAGTCCTTACGTTCTGCAATAAATAATAAAAAATATACTTACTATTTATTGCCTTTACAACCAACCTTCAGTTTGATAAGAGAATACCATTCACTTTTGACATTTAACAACAAATAATTCAATAATTACAAAATCATTTCCCATACATGGAAAGTATAACAAACGATGATGAATTATAATAATCATCCATTATGTGTGGATATTTATTAAAAAAAAAACGTAAATCACTCAAATAACAAAAGCTTACTGCTTAAATTTTGTTGATCTCAAATATGCAGGCATTTATGTCTGGATGGATAATCATCATGTAGTTGTATTGTTGAAACGAATTTTGTTTTTTGTATCATTTTTTTACTTTCTATCTAAAAGAGACCAATACAGCAATGATTTAATCAGTACAGACAATAGCACTGCAAAAAGATACAAACCTCTGCGCACTCAGCTTATGATACTTCGTTAAAACTTTTTCCTCCATAAAAGTCCCATTGATTTGAGAATAGAAGGAGAGGAAGCTAGCTGTTATAAAATTTCATAGGATTATGAGAAGGTGAAATAGACTTTTGCACAAGATACATGTACATGTTAAGCCCTTTTCAGCTGATTTTCATAGTTTTTCTTATGTTGTACTGTTACACCACTGCGCAGGCTAGGAGGAGGGTTTGGCGCCAGCAAACAAGTTTAGCACCGCCACATTCTATAAGTGCCTGTCTCAAGCCAGGAGCCTGTAGTTCAGTGGTTGTCGTTGGATCATGTCCGTCATATTTGTTTTGTTATAAATTAGGCCATTCTCAATTGAATTGTTTCATATTTTTTTCATGTCGGAGCCTTTTATAGCCGACTATACGGTATGGGTTTTTCTCACTGTTGAAGGCCGCACGGTTGCCTTTAATTGCTTACATCCACTTCATTTGAACTTTGGAGGAGTTATTTTAATTTAGTTATCTTATTGGCAATTATACAACATCTCCTTATTTTTATACCAATTCAATGAATATATCAAGATGTGTATACATTTTGTAGGGCTCACTGAAAAAACAAACATGTTTTATTACAAGAATTGCTGTATGTTTGCGAAGTAACTCATACAACTATGATGAAATATATTTTAATCTCCAAAATCAAAACGGAGTTTGTCTAATGTTAAAACAATTACTACCTTGGTTTCTCCGGACTAGCAAATAACGAGTCAGGATGCTTACAGAAAAGGTTTCCCAAACTAAACCCATTTCTTGAGTTAATTACCAAATTAAATTACTGCACCCTTTTTATCCCAATAATGCAGTAAATTACAAAATTATATTTTGGCATCTCTTTCGACAGTTAAATTATTTTTAAGACCTTACCGTTAAGTTATTAGTTTGACATACCCTCCTCCCTCCCCCGATTGTATGTTTAAGTATACCTTGACAGACCCTCAAGAAAAACACAAAATTAAGCTCACCTTCCTTCCATCTATACTTAAGCAAACTGGAGAGTTTCAAAACAACTGTGAATTAGTTAGGTGCAATAAACAAGAAGAAGGCCTAGGAGAAGACAAACTGAAAAAAAAATGTCTCTGAACTTCGTTTGGGAAACTTAATTATGATAAATTAACATAATCATTCAATACCAGTAGGGAGACGAAAGTTTCATTTTAATATGTACATATACATGTATCTGTTTACTTTCACCCAACATTGGTACCGGATGTAATGACAGCGAATGAGTTTACACACAAATATGAGCGTTCCATTATTTCTCCAGTTTACTCTTTATATATTTAAAATTACAAAACCACACGCAGATATGTATATTTTGAATAATCATGAACGGGAACTGGAGATACGTCACTCTTTAATTTTCATTTATACATTTACAAATCTTCATGTTGTTCAAAGCCTCGGTATTCTGTTAAAGGGGCATTAGCTGTCAAATTCATGTTCACCGATTTGACTCAAATTCTAATATTTGATATATAACATATTAAAACGTATATCCAAATTACATCAAGTCTGAAATAAACAATAAACAATGCAAGGACGCGATAATTATATATCAGCATTTCGTGTGTATTTTAGTCTAGACGCAATCTAATTAACAATCGAGATGACCTATGAAGACTGCCGACGGTCTCATAACCCGATTTAAACATAAAAATAAATATAAATAAATAGCGACCTCGTGCAATTGGACTTTTTTAGATGTGTTTTATTTCATGTTATAGGTTAAAAATAAGTTAATCATCGTTTTAACCTGTATAAGAATGATACTTTGTGGATCGAATCATTCAACGAAATAGTTCACCTTTGTTTTACTGTCAATGCCTTTTAATGGCTGAACACGACTAATATATGCGTAACCAATCTCTAGCTAATGGGTTAAATTGAAGGTCACATGAATACGGATTCAATGAGGTCGAATGATTCACTTGCAAGTGAATAATTCATCAGCGATGTTTCTTAGCTTATTTTGACAAAACATTTTTGATCAATGCTTAATATCAATCCGTTCTTACCAAGTATCAACTGTTAAACAAAAAACAACAGTTGAGAACAAAGAAGACCACAGATGGCATAGAACACGTTTAAAACGCAGTAAGGAGTTTAATGTGAATACTTCTCTTGACAAGTTCCTTCCTGAAGTGTCTGGGGCTGCATTCATGCCAGATGAGAGCATTATTTTAGCTGATACAGCTCACAATTAAGAGGCTTTTACATGTGAAGGACAAGGGTCAAATATTTCAAGAAGTTTCCTTGCCATTCGAACCGTTTGATGTGGCTGTACTAGGAAATTCGAAGCTCTTTAAATATCAATGTTGAATGATCGTCGAGTAGAAGTCCCTGATATCAATTTCATGGAACAAATTGATGAACTTATTCTCCATAGTAACGCATCCGGTCTGAACTTGTATGAAGACAGTCTCTTGGTAGTAGTTTGTGAGAAAACTGGATTATATTTAGTTGGGAGCGATAATAGTATTAATGTAATATCGATAAAACACAATGACGAAGGTCCAGTTGACGTAAATGCAGAAACTATTAGTTATGCTGAAACAAAGAAATGTTTGGTGCATTCGTACACACATAGTAAAAAACGAAAATTTACATTGAAAGTTGATGGTTTTGGCTATATACATGGAATAGCGTTGTTAAAAGATAGCAGTATTCTTGTGGCTAAGCTTAGTCCAGGCAGACATAGTATTACGCAAATTTCACAAAACGGGAAAGATAAAATGTTGAGATTAAAACTAAACGAAATAGCCTCACCAAGATCACTGGCGGTGCACCGAAAGAAACGAAAACTGCTATTGGTGCATGGAGTGAAGAAAATATCAATTTTTCAAGAACTGTAACTAGCATAAATAACTCATGCAAAATTGAAATACTCAGTTTGTCAATGACGTAGCATTAGATATTTGCAATTCAATTGTTTTAATAACTATACTACCAGGGCTGTACCAAAAATGTGTATTGTTGAAGCCAAATTTTTGTTTGAATAAATAATTTGCCGAATTCAAATTCAAACATTTAATCATGAAGGGTAATATAACAAATATACATTTCCCATTTGTTAAACATTAATTACAATATTTTTGATCTCTGCTTCAAAAATAAATAGGCTTAGCATGAACAATACATACTTCTTTTGAAGGATATCACATTTGTTGGACAGATATAAGATATTGCATAGCAACATATACAATCACAAAATATTAATATGGTGCCATTGTAGAATAAAAATAAAGTCCTTACGTTCTGCAATAAATAATAAAAAATATACTTACTATTTATTGCCTTTACAACCAACCTTCAGTTTGATAAGAGAATACCATTCACTTTTGACAAATAACAACAAATTATTCAATAATTACAAAATCATTTTCCATACATGGAAAGTATAACAAACGATGAAGAATTATAATAATCATCCATAATGTGTGTATATTTATTAAAAAAAACATAAATCACTCAAATAGCTTAAATTATGTTAATCTCAAATATGCAGGCATTTATGTCTGAATGGACATGTAGTTGTATTGTTGAAACGAATTTTGTTTTTTGTATCATTTTGTTACTTTCTTTCTAAAAGAGACCAATACAGCAATGATTAAATTAGTACAGACAATAGCACTGCAAAAAGATACAAACTACTGTACACTAAGCTAATGATACTTCGTTAAAACTTTTTCCTCCATAAAAGTCCCATAGATTTGAGAATAGAAGGAGAGGTAGCTAGCTGTTATAAAATTTCATAGGATTATGAGAAAGAGAAATAGGCTTTTGCACAAGATACATGTACGTGAATATTGCATATACATTTTATGAAAACTTGAATAAGGATTTAGTAATCAAATGATATGCATTTTCACATGTCTAACGATACAATTCCAAGATCTCTTCGTCGACATATCTGAGGGTCTTAAAAATTGAAAGTATAGATATTTTAGTCTTAGATACATTATCTTTTTATTAGTTGTTATTGGCTTTGAAACAGCTGTCAGTAACTGCGAGTGCGCTCAGATCTTTCCTTATTGTCATTTTTGTTGTGAGATGCATAGATAGGCTGCCACGTCAGTTGCGGTTTTCGTTAGATGTTGTGTGCTTTGTATCGATCTGATGAGTTAAGTCTTTTTCAACTGATTTTTATAGTTTGTTCTTATGTTGTACTGTTACACCACTGTCCCAGGTTAGGGGGAAGGTTTGGCGCCGGCAAACTAGTTTTAACTTCCGCCACTTTTAATATGTGCCTGTCCCAAGTCAGGAGCCTGTAGTTCAGTGGTTGTCGTTGGTTCATGTCTACCGTATTTGTTTTTCTTAAATTGTTTTGTTACAATTTGGCCATAAATTTTCTCAATTGTTTTGTATCATATTTTTTCATGTCGGAGCCTTTTATAGCCGATTATACGGTATGGGTTTTTCTCATTGTTGAAGGCCACACGATTGCCTATATTTGCTAACATCCACTTCATTTGAACTTTGATGGATCATAGTTGTCTCATTGGCAATTATACCACATCTCTTGATTTTTATATTAATTCATTGAATATATTTAAAAAAAAAATGTGTATATATTTTGTAGGGCTCACTTAAAAGCAAACATAGTTTATTACAAGAATTGTTGTATTTTTGCGAAGTAAATCATACAACTATTATGAAAAATATTATAATATCCAAAATCGAAACGGAGTTTGTCTAATGTTAAAAACAATTACTACCTTGGTTTCCTTGGGACTAGCAAATAATCAGTTAGGATGCTTACAGAAAAGGTTTCCCAAACTAAACCTATTTCGTGAAATAATAACCAAATTGAATTACTCTACCCTCTTTAGCCCAATTAAGCAGTAAATTACAAAATTACATGTTATTATCTCTTTCCAAAAAGGCAGTAAAATTGATTTTAAGACCTTAACATAAGTAGACTGGAGGGTTTCTAAACAGCTGTGAATTAGTTCAGGTGCAATAAACAAGAAGAAGGCCTAGGAGAAGACGAACTGAAAAAATGTCTCTAAACTTCGTTTGGGAAACTTAATTATGATAAATTATCATAATCATCCAATACGTGTAAGGAGACGAAAGTTTCATTTTGATTATGTACGTATATCTGTTGTCTTTCACCCAACACTGATACCGGACGTAATGAAAGTGAATGAGTTTACACACAAATATAAGCATACCATTATTTTTCTCACTGCAGTTTACTCATTATATATTTAGAATTACAAAACCAAACACAGATATGTATATTTTGAAGTATCACGAACGGGAACTGGAGTTACATCACTCTTTAATTTTCAACTACAAATCTTCATGTTGTTTAAAGCCTCGGTAAACTTTTGACATGGTCATTTAAGGTTAGTGGTTCTTTCGAATTCGTGGTTTACTAGGATCACAAAAGTTGGTATATCACGGTATACAGATTTCTTATTTTTCGTATCAAAATATATATTTTACTTGCCTGTATTATATGATTATCTTGTCAACAAAAATGCAAACCAACTTTTTAAAGCTTCATTCGGAACAAATATGAGCATAGTTTATTTTTTTCTAAGACTAACCTGTTTATTAAAGGGATATTTTCCCTATAAATATATCGAAAAACATACATGCAACACATGTATGCGCTTCCAGCAATTATTTCAACACCCTCAAACGCAATGCCCCCATTTACAGAACTACTAGCATGTGCTGTCCTTGAAGGAGTCAACGTTTCATTTGTCATATATGCCAGCTATACTGTAGATAAAAAAAGATAAAGTCATCATCACAAACTTACAGAGAGTAAATTAGTCGTGACATGTAAAACACTGTATGCAAGTGATGCACGTATTATTTACAACATTTTCATAGAACAAAAAGGAAATACTACAATGAAAAAATCTGTCGGCACGTATGTTCATTATTAGACGTAAGCAGGGATTATTATCAGACAATCTCCAGAATGAAACATGTTAATTTGTCATGACTTTTCAAATCGCGCCAGTGGAAAAAAATGGAAAACAATATACACTGCACTTAGTTGTTATGATAATAGTTAATAATTCATGCTTACTTTATAAATAACTTAAATAAAACGATAATGTTACATAATGCCTTTTATCAATATCGTAAACATAAATATTGAAACAAATTATCAAATTATTAACCATTTTTCATATAAAGATTGAAATTGAGATATCATAATTGACATTTAAATTATTGATTATTTTACTGGAACTGTCATTTCTCTACAACCTATCGAATTCCAAACAAAAAACAAAATGTCGAACAGTAAAAACTCTGCGGCACGCCGGCTTTCCATCATGTTTAATTGACATTTAACCTAACTTGCGGATCTTGTTAACGGTTTTTTATTCGACTTCATTGATTAAAGGGGAAACGTCATATTTCACATGTTCATCTTCAAGCCTTGTTACACATTAACAGATTTATTCCTTATGCTGCTTTAAGTTTTCCGATTATTTAACACTTTTTTCTTTGGACAAGAGTTCATTGCGACTTTTAAATTTCGTGAGTATTGATTATTCCATCGTAAAAATCACATGGCACTTGGATTTAATCGCTTGTCGCTAGTACGTACGTATTTCTTTTTGTTTCCGGTGAAATGAGCCATTGACAGAAGGTGTCTCCCTCTAGAACATTATTGACTTTTGAATGATTGAATTTCAAAACTATTCCGACACTGAAATGAAACACGGAAAGTCAATCACAGCAGTATTCAAATAAATTTCTTCCATAATGTTGGACTGGTTAGTGATCAAAAAATGATTATCAAATAAGGTAAGGCTGTTTGTAACCGATTTTGTAGTTTCAATGTTAAAGTTCCAAAAGACTTTAAAGTTCAATATCCTAATTTTGTTGAATATAAAATTAAAATTAATCTTCTATGAAATAATGTATTTTTTCAAAGAAATATGAGACTGTAACATTGTTTTTTTTTCAGATAATAATAATAATAATAATGATAATAATAATAATAATAATAATAATAATAATAAAAATAATAATAATAATGATAATAATAATAAACACAACTAAAACAGAATCTGAAAAAAGAACAGTGTAGACTATACGTGTAGACAGCAAACCCATGACATAAAATCCAAGTGACATCTGTTTGTTAATTTTCGCTTTCTTCATAATATTTTTGGTTATTGTGTCAAGGAGACACAAAACTTTTTTTTTCAGAAAAATTGCAGCATAGTTTAATTACGATATAATGTGCTCAGAAATACATTTTACGTTAACTTAATACAGAATTCTCGAAGTATTTTCAAGACACCACATGCGTTGTCTGTATGTCCATTAGTGTCAAACTAATATTATTAGGGACCGACCATTTATCTTTTGGGGTGGGGTTGGGGTGGGGAGGCGGATGTGGAACGTTTAAAAACAATGATAGTTTCACAAGGTTATTGAAAAAAAAATGTGTTTGTTTCCATTGAAAATTAGCGGAGAAAATAAATTCAACATTGAATTTAAAAAAAAAAATCTTATTGTTCCTGTATGTTTTAAGGGGACGACCATTTAACAGTCTGGGGAGAGGGAACAGGATGATTTTTTTTTTTTTGATTAATCATTTATTTTTTCATCTGTTGCTACACATGCTTATTTTTTCACTTTTGTACACATATGTATCCTCAACTGTCGTAAAATTGAAAATGGAAATGGGGAATATGTCAAAGAGACAACAACCCGGCCAAAGAGCAGATAACAGCCAAAGGCAACCGATGGGTCTTCAACGAAGCGAGAAAATCCCGCACCGGAGGTGGTCCTCATCTGGCCCCTAAATAAAAATGTGCACTAGTTCAGTGAAAATGTACGTCATACTAAACTCCAAAACATATAAATGAACTAAAATTAAAAAACATAAAAGACTAACAAAGGCCAGAGGCTCCTGACTTGGGACAGGCGCAAAAATGCAGCGGGGTTAAACATGTTTTGTGAGATCTCAACCCTCCCCCTATACCTCTAGCCAATGTAGAATAAAGAAACACACAGCGATACGCACAGTAAAACTCAGTTTAAAAGAAGTCCGAGTCCAATTTCAGAATAGGTAACAAAAGAAACTAAGCAAAATGACAATGATACATAAATTAACAAAGGACTACTAGCAGTTACTGACATGCCAGCTCCAGACCTCAATTAAACTGATTGAAAGATTATGTGTTATGTCTTAATCATATGAAAATCAAGTACAATCCATTCCGTTAGGGGTTTAGCATCATACCATCAAAAAATATATGAGAAGAACATAACCCGTAGCATGCCAACAACTGGTTTTAGAATAAATGTGTTTATTTCCGATGCAAAGACCCTATGAGTGAATCAATATTAATACATGTACCAAAATATGCAATTCTTAATGACTTGACAACAGTATCGTAACTATATCCCTTCCGAATAAGTCTGTTTAAAGGTTTGGTTAGCTTTTGAGGTGAATGCCGACATTTTTGTGCTTTGTAAAGAATATTACCATAAAAGATTGGATGTGAAATACCTGAACGTATAAGATGTCTGCATGTTGATTTATATTTACGAATGATGTCATTGTACCGATGATAAAATTTAGTAAATGTTTTGACTAGTTTGTGATATCGAAAACCCTGGTGTAATTACTTTTCAGTTATGAGATTTCCTTCGTTAAAATCAAATACGTTGTTACATACACTAGCGAATCGAACAAGTTGAGATATATAAACACCATAAGATGGTGACAAGGGAACGTCACCATCTAAAAATGGATAATTAACAATAGGAAATGAAAAATCATCTCTTTTGTCATAAATTTTGGTATTAAGCTTCCCGTTAAAGATATAGATATCAAGATCCAGGAAGGGGCAGTGTTCATTGTTAGTATTAGCTTTATTTAAGGTCAGTTAGGCAGGATAAACCTTTTTAGTGTACATACTGAAGTCGTCATTATTGAGAGCCAATATATCACCTAAATATCTAATATTGTTATTAAATTTTGGAATCAGGTGTTGTTTCGATGGGTCTTTGCTGATTTTAGTCATAAATTGTAACTCATAACAATACAGAAACAGGTCCGCAATAAGTGGTGCACAGTTAGTCTCCATGGGAATTCCAATAACTTGACGATATACGGAATCTCCATAGCGAACAAAAATGTTATCTAGTAAAAATTCAAGGGCAGTTATAGTATCAAAACAGGTCCAATTGACATAGTTCTTTTGTTTGTTGTTACTAAAAATGACCTAAAAGAGTTTGAACATAATTATATATTCGCATTCTGACTTTTTAAATGCACATTTAATCAGGTGTGTGAATTTTTTCTTAGTAAGATTATGAGGTAAAGTGGTATATAGGGTAGAAAAATCAAAACTTTGAACAAATTCGAAATCACCAATATAAGCATGCAATTTATCAAGTACATGTACTTCCAACGAATTTTTGACACTCCAAAAGTAATTAATTCCACTATATTCAAAGGCCTTATTTGAACAATTTATTACCAGGTTTTTGATTATACCAAGTGTACTAGTAAGTAGAATATATAGTTTAGTAGTGGAACATTGAAGAAGAAATAAATCTATATTTGTAAGGAGTTTTGTGCAGCTTTGCAAGCCAGTACATAGTTGGAACTTTCATTGTACAATGTATTTGGTTTTGCTTGTAAAGAGATAGCTAAAAGTTTATGTTTGTTACAGATGTCATTTTCTGAAAATGGAGTCAGTTGGAATGTTGGGTGAATTCTTGATTTCCTTTTTCAGAACCTCAATGTAAAATTTACGTCAAACAATAATGATATTGTTAGCAGCCTTATGCATTTTATTTTGCAAATTATTCATATTCTTCCAGTCTTGTGCAAAGTCATTTATTTTTCAATTCTTACCAGGCCAAGTTATTCTTTTTCAAAATCCTTCTGTCCCCACCCAGAAAATCAAATTGTAGTCCCTAAAGCAAATTTATATACCATGTTGATTAAATAATTTAAAATACAAGTTTACAAAACAACCTAATATGTAATATTCGTATGGCATACAATTATCGTCTTACACTTCCACTACAAACGAACGGTATTGTTCAAGTAACCGTTAACGTCACAGTTCATTTTAGTTCCTCTTCGGTGTCTATGACTTCAATTATCAAAAGTCAAAGGCCGGTAATTATAAATACTTATAATATTTTCGTTAATATTTGATTAATCATTTAGTTAATTACAAAATTGTTGGAAAACATAATTCATTTGTAGTCGTTACAAAACGGGTAAAATCACGACGGACCTTACTTTCTTCGTATTTCTGCTGTTACGCTGAAGGTGGTTTTCGTCTTTTCTTCGGCTTAGCGAAATTTTATCCTTGAATTAACATAATGACTTTTGATACTGCATCAGGAAAGAATGGTAATAATTTAACGAATTCCCATGTTGCCTTCCACATAGTTATTTCGATATGTTGAATAACCTATGGTATAATACTTTGGAATTCTTGTTATTTTTCATATGCTGTTATTTTTCTTGCAGTTAAAAATTCGTTTCTTTCCATACATTTTATATAAAAAGCCACAAAGCTATATTTTTTCTGTTACTTATAGCTTTATAAAAGACAAACAAGCACTAACTTTGTCTTTTGAAATTTTGATGCATTATAAAAAAATTTCATATATGAATTATTATAGTATTTTGAATTTCATTAGCAAAAATCTTCGTGTGGACTGTATCACCCATTGACATTGCTTTACATGTATTTCGAACGTTTTTATAAAATGTAATCTGGTATAATTGTAATTTTTATAAACCAAATTGCAAATCCCTCGGAAATAATCGATCGAACTACCGTAACACTAGTTTTTGCCTATACTATTTGATTCCTTGGGAATAAATGTCTCCCGCTTTTTGATTAAAAGTTTTTTCCCCCATGATGAATGATCGACTGATATTAATGGTGACCCCCCCCCCCCCCCCCCCCCCCCCCCATACAGACCAATAACTTTAGTGTCATGTCTAGGAAAAACTTTCACATCGATCTTAAATGAAAGACTCGGGGAACTTTCAATTGAGATCAATCTGATTTCCGAGGCTCAAACAGGATTCAGAAAAGGTTATAGTACATTGGATAACATATGTGTATTACATTCATTAATATCAATTATCAAGCTCTTGGAAAAAAAACTCTTTTGCACTTTTGTTGATTTTTCGAGAGCCTTTGACACAATCTGTCACACATCTTTATGGATAAAATTACAAAAGGCGAATATTGAGTGAGACAGGGAGAAAATTTATCCCCCTTTTTATTTGCTGTTTATCTAAATGATCTTGAGTCTTTCTTTGCTGAAAATGATTTTCAAAACTTGCAAGTTATGGAAAATATTTGCCGCAATTATTTGCATATCTATATAAAACTTTTCGTTCTTTTGTACGCCGACGACACTATAATTATATAATTATATCTGAAACGGCCGAATCAATGCAACAAGCCTTAAATGTTTTTGAAAGATACTGTGTATGATGGAAGTTAAATGTTAATTTATCGAAGACAAAGGTTGTTGTGTTCTGCAAACGGAAATCACGAACATTACCAAAGTTTCAAATATTTAACCAGTCTATTGGAATTCAAGATTTTTATCCATATTTAGGACTAACTTTTAACTACAATGGTTCATTTGAAACAGCGAAGAAACGTCTTAGCGAACAAGCACAGAAAGCACTTTTTAGTCTTTATACAAAGATACGTAACCTCTCAATACCTGTCGACGTACAATTACAGCTGTTTGATGCACTTATACTTCCAATTCTGACATATGGGTGTGAAATATGG